AAAAAAGCAATATGAACTATAGAAATAAAAAAAAATGAGAAAATTCATGGCAAAAGCAAGTTAGTAAGAAAAGTTTACTAGCCTTTCAAACTAAAACGGTAGCATTTTAGTAACTCACATATCGATGTAAGGGTCTACTTACCCGTGTATATATCCTTCCGACTGGTGTGGAGCTAAAAAAAAACATGGGAGCATTGAACAATGAATTATTGATCCCTAAAAAGAAGGTTGTTGAAGCTTTTAATCCAAGAAGTGATGTAAAAAAAGACCTTAGACATATAAATGGTGTACTAGATATTCAAATTCCTATGTAAACTCCAACTAAGATGCCATTGTAAATTTTAGGAATTCGAATCGCTTTTGCCGACCAATAACTTAAACCCGCCTAAATAACAAAAAAAAGCAAACTAAGACAAGTATAAGTAAGCTTAATAGAAGGAAACCTTTGGATACATGAACATAATCCAAAAGTGGTTTTAACCTAGCATTGCTAATTTCCCTCTCTTCTTCTTTTATAAGCAAACCATCTATTGAATTTTCTTTCTTACTATTTTCTTTAAGAGGCAACCATCACAAAGTCCTCAAATTGGCATATATTAGAATTTAGAGCTTTTGTTTTGTTTATTTGCTAGTATTCATATAGTCTTCCCATGGATAAGATAATTGATGCACCATTAATTGATATTACAAGTAGAATTCTTGATCGAGAGCATCAATGGGAGATGATCTATTTAGGTCAACCAAGGGACGTAGAGGAAGAAATACTTTCGGTATGGTCATTGTATAGAAAATAAGGTTATTTTACGGGTTAGTGGATGAATATTTGGGTTTCTACTTGAAGTTTTGGGTTTTATTTTTGAATTTATGAGTTTGGGGATGAACACACGGGTTTTAAAACCCATAAATTCATCCCTAAACCCAAATATATTTCAATTTACCTCCCTAAGGTTCATATGTTATCATAATTTAACCTAAAATATTTAGTTTGTTTCAATTAGCCATCAAATCTTTTATTCCAATTAACTCCGACGTCTTTTATTTTTGCACCAATTCCCCCTCCCCATTTTCGTCAAGAATAGTAACAAAAAACATGTATAAATTTTAAATTTATCTCTAAAGTTTATAAAATATCTTCATTTTACTAAAAATGTAAAAAAAAAAATCAATTGCATAAAATATATAAATAAGATATGCCAGCGAGAGAGTATAGAAAAGGCAACAATAATGGTGGTTTATTTTTTTCATCTTTGTTTTTAGCTTAATATTATTTTTGTATTGTCAAAAGATTGGTAGATAGTGTTAATAAAAAAATTATCATATTTTTTTTATTGAAAAAAAAGTACTTTAATGAATTTTTAATTTCGATTTGTTTATTATTACCTTTTGAGTTATATTGAGATATTCCATTAATTCATAAAAAAATTAAAATTTGCACACTTTTTCCATTACTATTTCCGACAAAAATGGACCTAAATAGAAAGTAAAGCAAATATAAAAGATACATGGTTTGATTGAAACAAATCAAAGATTTTAGGTGAAATTAAGATAACGAGATAACACATAAATCGAAGATAAATTGAAATTTAATCTAAACAAAATGAGTAAAACTTTTTTTCAAGTATAACTAGTAGTTTGGTCGGTAAGTTAATGGGTTGAAGGTCTAGTATGTCCATCTATTGTTTCGAATGTCTTAATTGTGTCTCTATATAAAAATTTTCTATTGTCGTATCCTCTACTCTTAATTTTGTCTACATTTGGTCCATTCGATCGCTTTTTCAAACAACGAAAACAATATTATTTTTATCTCCGTTGCTTGAAAAAGTGATTGGAGGGATCAAATGCGGACACAATTAAGAGCGAGAGGACTCTATAGTTGAAAATTTTAATAAAGAGACATGATTAAAACATTTGAAACAATAGAAGGATATTCGAAACCTTTAACCCATAAGTTAATATACATGGTAGTGCTTCCAACTTTTCTATAAAGGGTTCTAGGCTTCTAGACTTCAAGGAGGTGAGAAGAGAAATCATCTATTTATTTTCGTATTTTGAGGGAAAAAAAAACATCAAGTTAATCCCCAATCTATATACTTATTCTTAAAATGAGTCCTAAACTTATAAATTTTATTAACTAAGCCCTAAATGTTTCAAAAAAAATCTCAATCAAGTTTTTTTTTTCATCAATAATTTTGCCAAATTGTCTTTAAAATAATGTCATTTAGTGTAAACTATCCGATTATTTGTGTTATGCTACAAATCGGACGTGAATAAGTGAAATTGTTTGAAAAAAAATTATCTTTATTCGATGGTCCTTGCAATGTCGTAGGTCCAATAAAATATATTGAAATTAAAGGTTGATTTGTTTTCACCTAAATTTATGATTTTTAATCAAAATTTTGTACGTAATCAATTCTTTCTTATGTTCTTTTTAATATATTTTCTTCTTAAATAAAAATTTGTAATAAACTAAAGAGCAAGCTTTAATTAATAGCAAATAAAAAAACATGTAAAATGTAATATATTTTTTTCATTAGATTGCATCAAAAAAATAAAACAACATCTAATGTAAAAAATATTGTCTAATAATTTAAAATAAATTTTTATCCTTATTGAATATTGATAAGAAGATTAAGTTTTGAAAGTATGCGCATTGTGTGTGCATGTGTGTGTATGTGTGTGTGTGTATTCCTAAAATAATCAAATATTAGCATAAAGAACTTCTATTTGAAAAGTATGATACCATCTCATATTTTTATTAAAAAATAATTTTGATTATTTTATTTGAGAAAAATTGATTTCAAAATATTCATTTTTTTAATTGTAAATGTTTAGTGTCTTGTGTGAATATACTTAGTTAATTTCCTATAAAATCGATTTTAATAAATTTTGATTATATAAAGAAAAACTAAATAAAACAAGTGGATTTTTTTTTCTTTTTTAACATATATTTTTGTTTCTAAGCCATAGATTTTTGGTTCTCATCCATTGGCCTTGCACTTATAACAATTCCTTCTCTCTCTTTTTTTCACTTCTTACTTTTAATTATCATTAATTTTTTTAAATTATTTTTTTCAGAAACTTAAGGAAAAATTATGCAATACACTTTCAGCATGTAGATCACACACACACACACACACACACACACACACATATATGATAGTCTCATTTAAAAATTATAACAATTTATCATATAAGCTATATTTTTTTAATAAATAAAAATAATCATGTTCATAAAAATTTATTCCAAAATATATACATAAAGAAATTAAATTTAAATAAATGAAATATAATAAAAAAGAAAAAAAATTAATTGGATGAGAATTTTTATAAAAAAAAATTATAAATTGAAAGGATAAATTTCAAATAATAACAAGTAATATAATTTGAAATATATGTTAAGAATAAAATATAAAAATACATCATTGATATTTCTTTCTCACAAAGTTGCAGAAAACTCAGAAATTAATTATGAGTTTTCCAAAAATCAAGTACAAAATCAAATAATAAAAAAAGAGAAAAAAAATAACAATAATAAAGTTGGGCGTGTGTGTGCTAGGCTTGCACTCTTGGACTTAGAGAACTGCCCCATGCATGCATGGTCTGGACATGAGCAAACCAGCCCTATGAAAAAAAAAAAAAAAAAAGTGAAATGACAGACGACGCATCACCAACGCAATACGTAAAAGATGATACATCGTCAACTATAGCTTTCGTCAAAGCTATGATTGTCAGAAATCTCATCAAAAAATCAAAGCTCTATATTCCGGCCTTTAGAAACTAATTTCACCACTATTTTTGCACCAAAATACCTCGAGATCACTAAAATTAGCTCAAATTTTTGTTTAAAACCTTGAAACCCATTTTAATGCACCTAAAAAATTTGAAAATTCAAATCAAATTAAAAAACTTAAAATATTAAAAAACTTAAAAATATTTTAAGATTTCGATCACGTTTCTTCGACTATTTAATGTCTTAAGATCACTATAAATATTTTTATAAATACTTTTATATGAACAAATCGAAACTAAAATCAACGCTCAAAGTGGTCGAAATGAGTCTCATCATGAATTTTCCTCTTTTTCTGTCTCTTCATTTCTCTTTACATTTAAAATCAAATCGTAATATAAATAAAATTAGAAATTGAAACAAATTTTTTAGAAAAAATTAGAGATTAAAACGTCACATCCATTAAAACTTACATATTAAATATATAAAAAACAAATAACAAAAATTACAAAAATATCATATCAAATACCTAAACAAAGAGTGACAATTACAATAATACCATTAAATACAATGATATTAAGTGAATATTGTTTATGAGCATGGGTGAATAGTACCCGAATAGTAAACTCTTCATTTTTTTTAGGTTTTTTTATAATAATATGCATAGAAAAAAAACTGTATATTAAACATAAACTATTAAAATGAACTGACAAAGGTCATGATTGAGAAACATAGGAAAAGCTTTGGAGTTAATGATAAAATTTATAGGGTTGGAATGTAATTAAGAATAAGTATATATGTTTTAGAATAAATTGAGATTTCTCTTTTTGAGAAAGTTCAAAAAGAACAGAAATCGTTTCTTAATTACTACTACTTGAGAATTTAGGCTAAGACGTAAACTTACTTCTGAACGATGTCGTAAAACTAGTCGGAGCTCAAAATTGTGCGTTTTAATTTTGGACGGCAAACAAAACAATTCATGAGGTAGATCTAGATCTTCTCTCTCGGTTCTGCAAGCAATCTCACTTCCCTTCCCTCCCATCCTCTCCTCTCGTCTTCCCTTTCCTCTCTACACCTTACTTTGGCCATCTTCCTCAATTCTACCCTTCCATTCAACCACCTATTTACAATTCTGTCCTACCTTGTCTTTCCCTACAGAGCATCTCTCACCGTTTAACAGACAAACCAATCCTCAATTTAGGGTTTCGAGATTATAATAAACTAGGATTAATTTTTGATTCAATTGATTTTCACGGATTTTTGTAAAAATTAGATGATGCCGCCTGTAAAAACGTCGTATCGGGATCGGACACAAGAGTTTTTGAGTGTATCAGAGAGGCTAAAAAAATCGTTCTCATCGGCGAACAATGTGGCATCGTCCAGTAGTGGTACCAGCACGAAACCAGATGCCACGCGATCTGCTGTCGCGATTCAATCCGAATTTAATAAAAGAGCATCCAAGATCGGGTATGGGATCCACCAGACATCGCAGAAGCTAGCAAAGCTCGCAAAATGTGAGTTACTTGGTTCTCTTTCTCTGATTTTGATGATTCACGGTGTGCTTGAAATTAGTTGTTGATACTGATAATTGACATTTGATATTTGATGCTAGTAATATAGTGCGTTTAGTGCTGTGGCAGTGGTAATGATGGAATAAAGAGAGTTTGGCTTGCATTATAAAGGGAGTTAATACATTCTTAAAAGACAACGTTACTAAAATTCTCTACATCATTGTGTAGAACAATAATGCTGTATTTGAACGATTAGTTAGTTTATTCATTCGTGAAGCAACTACGAGGGTTGGAGATTTGTTCTTGATGCTAATGATGGGTTTGGGAAGTGGAATGGATCCTAATACTTGTTTGATCTTCCTTATGTTTGTCCATAGGGATTTTTTAAGGATAAGTTCTTGTCAGTGCAATTATTTTTTTAGCGTAGGATAGTTTTTTTTTTCCTAGTTTCTTTTTGGACATTAGTTTACTTATTAGCACTTGTTCAGAAAAATTGGCAACTGCTTTTGAAGTGGCGCCTTCCCCATTGGTCCTTTATTAAAAAAATGTTTATTTGACAAGAAAATAAATTTTCTTATCAAATGTGATTTAGAAATATTTAGTGATTAAAATATTGTACAAATATTTCCACTTATGGTTCATGATCAAAGAGTAAGGTTATTGTAAATTGTAATCCCTAAATTTAATGTTGTATGTTGAAGATGTTCCACATTGTTGAATGACTCTTCCAAATAAAATGTAAAAGTGTTACAGTGATTTTATGGCAACTCAGACCAAAACCAAAGTGTGTCAGCTGATCAGTTGCTCTACCCACCTTGTTCAGGTGTAGGTTGATGCATGGTTTATGCTTCCTAGTAGAGCATTTACATGATTTTAAGGTTCAAATTATGTAATATGGCATATTTTGAAGGTTTTCAATCCATGAGAGTGGGAAGATGTTAATGAAGGTGAATATAATGTGGACGGCAAATATGTTATATACTGATTCCGAGTGAATTCTTATATTCTTCATATTTTGCCTACATGAGCTTCAAGGTTATTTGATTTAGGTTCATCATGTAAGTATTGCCATCTTTTATCAGTGTCTTCTTTTATTTTCATTTCAAAAATGAAATTTTTGGAGGTGACCTTTTATCAATGATTACCAGTGCTTGGAAATTGAATTGTTTGGAGCATTTAGAAGTCTATGGATAGAATGGTATTTGATAATCTTCAAGAACTACCCTCTGGAAGCATTTATTGTGAGAAGACAGTTTTCTTGCCATCATCATGTTGTTCTTCTTTGAGGGCTTTTCCAGAAGTGTCAGTAGTAGATTGTCAATGATATTGAATTTCTCTGTTGTAACGACTTTGTAATTTTGTTTTTCATATTCCTGCCTTAATCCTTTTTGATGAATTCTCTTCTCATCAGAAACAGAACCTGGAACCGATTAGTACCTTTAGACTGATTGGTAGGGTTGCAACTATTAGAGTTTCACATCTTATTGGTAGCCTGAAGTTCCTCTGTATCTCATATGATGTTGTAAATGTCACTAAATAAGGGAAGTTAAGTTGTTAGGTTTTGAATTAAAAAATCATTATTCTGACTGGGAGAGCAGTACGCCTCTTGGAGTATAGAGTTTTGCCTGTGCAAAATTGTCAGAAGTTATCTAAAACTACTGATTGAGTATGATACTCAGACCTTACCACTTCGAAGGTTAGCTGCAGTAAATTTTAGAAATTTTGTACAGTTTTTCCTTTCATTGTTTGATATCATTTTACAACAGGAATGGTACAAATGCAGCCCTTTATTATGCCACTTGTATAGAAATTTGTGATTATATGATAAAGTATGAGATGTGCTTGATCTCTCTCTTCCCTTTCTTTTTCCTCTCTATTTTAGCCTTTGCTCATTCCATTGCTTGGATCTAAAAGAATGAATTACTTTAAAACAATGTTTATAGATTGATGTTGAGAACAATATAGCCATTTTGAGTTTGGAATTGACTTGTAATAATCTAGAGAAGCCAAAAAATGTTTAGCATTGATCTTTACTGTGTATTTTGATCAGTGGCGAAAAGGACATCGGTGTTTGATGATCCAACTCTGGAGATCCAAGAGTTGACAGCAGTTATAAAACAAGATATTACTGCACTTAATTCAGCTGTACTAGACCTGCAACTCCTTTGCAACTCCCAGAATGAAAGTGGAAACATCTCCAGTGATACTACAACTCATTCAACCACAGTTGTAGATAACCTAAAGAATCGCTTGATGACTGCTACAAAGGAGTTTAAAGAAGTCCTCACAATGCGGACAGAGGTAAATTGAAAGTTGCTATCTAACACAAGAAGCAGTTCAATGTTCCATAATCAGCATTATTGTTATTGTAATTTATTGTTCATGTTTTGAATTTTCTGTATATGTACAGAATCTAAAGGTTCATGAGAACCGGAGGCAGCTGTTTTCTTCCACTGCTTCAAAAGACTCTTCAAACCCCTTTGTTCGTCAGCGTCCACTCGCTTCCAGGGCAGCTGCTAATGCATCACAGGCTCCTCCCCCTCCATGGGCCAATGGTTCTGTACCCTCATCCCAGTTGTTTCCCAGGTACAAGTTACAGCATTTGTTGCTCTTAAGAGGTGTGCCATTTGGAAGTTGTGGTAGGAATAACCTCATATTTTCTGTACCTCTTTATCTTTTTTCTTATGTACTAATTCATGAAATTTTCTTCTAATCTTGATGTGGAATATGGTGGGTGAGGATGGAATGATTGGGATTCTGATAGGTGAGATTTTGCGGTCCAGAGACAAGAGTGTCTTCATTTCCCAATGATACTGTCCTCCTTTTCTTTTGCAGCAAACAAACAGATGTGGAGTCCCAGCCGCTTTTGCAACAGCAGCATCAACAGCAACAGCAAATTGTTCCACTACAAGACAGTTACATGCAGAGCAGAGCTGAAGCACTTCATAATGTGGAGTCCACAATCCATGAGCTGAGCAACATCTTTACTCAACTAGCAACAATGGTTTCACAACAAGGAGAGCTTGCGATCAGGTTTGTTCTTTGTTATGATTTCTGTCGCTAGAAATGAAGCTTTGATTAAGCACATCCTCTGGACAGTTGCAGTACTCTTCAGCTCCTCGTATGGGGAACAGTGTCTGGGTCACTGAGCCCAGACACGGCTGCCTTTTTCTTTAAAATTCACTAGTAGAAAAGAACAAATCTACAAAATTATAAAAATACTTACTGAAAGCAAGGTAGACAGAAGGGAAAGAAATTGTTTTATTTTTATGTCCGTTTATTTAGCAATGGTTTACAACTCACATAAGGGCAATTACTGGCACAGGATTGACGAGAACATGGATGAGACACTGTCAAATGTAGAAGGGGCGCAGGGCCAACTGGTCAGGTATCTTAACAGTATTTCTTCCAACCGATGGCTGATGATGAAAATATTCCTTGTACTTATTGTATTCCTCATGTTTTTCGTGTTTTTTGTGGCATAAGAGTATACAAGGAAAAATGCACTAGAAACGTTATTTCTCCTTATATTGTCCTGTTCCCGATGGTTTATCTCTATTCTTGCCTTTGAAATTAAGAATGCATAGTCTGTTGTGTATTTGTACTAATGATACCAGGTCAATGGGGCCTACACAGTTTTGACTTCAAACCCTTGTTTAATTTATTCCGGAAATCCTTCTTGTATCGTTGTATGCAAGAACGAGGACCAGTACATAATAATAATAATGATAATAATAAAAGTAATGTAGGGTCTTGTGTATTGCAATCCTTGTATGCTCATGGCATTGATTCTGGGGTGGTTTTGTGCTCGCTGTGGATCTTGACTCTGCGGTTCAGAGTGCAATCCTGATTTTTATTTTCTAAAGCGAATTATTAGGGACCCCACTGCCATGAACTCTGTTTCCGTTAACACACTTTTGGTTATCAGTTATCGCATACATATTAATAGTTGTTTGCTTTCTCTTCGAATTTGGCATCACTTGGCCAAAAGTGCAATTAATGTTTTTTTCTTTTATATTTTTAGTAATGAACCCACACAAATGTTCCCTAAAATTACGGTAGTATTGCTCCAGTTATATTTATAGACCCACAATAAGAATTATCAGCAACGCCAATCAGTGTGAACTGCAAACTAAATGCGTTGGCCAATTTTGATTCCTCATAAAAAATTAGGACATCCTATCTTTAGGGATGAAAGACGTGAAAACAAGCTCAACTCCAAACAAATGCAAAGAATTGAATACGTGACGTCTTGATAGATTCCAAGAAAACACTAATAATGAGTCACACTCGTTCGTTTTCTGAAAAACCAGCTTAAGCATGACGAACATGTAAAGAAACAGAGGATGGGTTTAATTTGGAGTACAGGACAGAAGGGACAGGTGTAGGATCTAAAACATCGTGTTTGGTCTGCGGAAATGGAGACAACTCATTTTTGTCTCAGCACCTAAAAAAAAATTACTTAAATTTATGTACCTATAGGAGGACGTAGATGGATTAAAAAAAATAAAAATTTAAACAAAACACACTTTCAAATAAAAAGCTTACATTTCAATCCAAAAGTTTAAGCAAACATTGCTTATTAAAACAACCATCCTTTCTTGTAGAGCCAAAATTCTACGTCTAAGTCAATTTAATAAAATATCGATCAATATTAAAGAAGTGATTTCGAAAAAAGAAGAGGTTTCAATATCTCTTTCTTGAAAGCTCTAAGATTTTAAACTTATACATGCTCATCATAAATTTATGCTTAACTCTTAATTTAATTAGGGAGAACTAGTTACTTTCCCGCGTTACATAGCGGGATCGATAATTTTAAAATTTTTTAATTATAATTTTTTATTCACTTACTTTTTATAATTCTTTTTATAAATTTCTTGCTAAAAAAAATGTAAATCATTCTTCTTTATGAATTTATTTTAAAATAAAAAAATATAATAATTTTAACTAAAATATTAATCAAGAATTAAAAAAAATTTTAAAATATAATTTTCATAATATTGTATTCCAAAAAATAAAGTTATAATTAATTGATAGGCTTTTACAAAAATTAACAAATGAGAAAAAATTCTTATTTAATGTTGATGAGAAGATTAATTTTTAAAATTATTTGTGCAACGTTACCATTAAATTAACGATTGATTTTTTAAAATTTTAACGATTGATTTTTCAAAATTTTAACATCTCATTAAATTAAAAAACATAAGTTGATGAAAAAAAGAAAAAGAAAAAAACCATGTGTAGTGCATCAATTAGGGGATTAAAAAATTTATTTTAAAAGTGTAGAGATCAAAATAAAATAAATGTGAAAATTTTAAAAAAAAATTACATAATAAAAAAACCTAAATTGATGTAATTAAAAAAAAAAAAACTTGCTATAGGAAATAATGAAACCAAAGCACTTTAAAAAATAAAAAGCACCAGTCGGAGATCATTGTTCATTGGAACATTAACGACAAAACATCCTTTTGTTTTAGAGTATTTGTAATGAAGGTGGTGAAGTTAATCTCGTTACTATTTTTTTGATTAAAGTTTTGATATCTTATCAAATAACTATCTTAGTTCAAAAATTTAAATTGTTGAATAAAATTTTAGAATATTATGACATTACTTTCTAACACAAGTCTTACCTTAGCCTTATCAATCTTAGAGTTATGATTTTGGATGAATTATTTTTTACTACTAGATTTGCTTAAAGAAAAAAGTCAAAAACATAAAATTTAAAATTACAAAACATAAGAAAATAGAAAAAAGAGAGAAGATTTTAGGTGATTAATGCTGGCCATTATTGTAACTCCCATGAAATTTATTAATTATAAAAATATATATATGTTTAAATGTTCATAAACATGCCTATATTAAGCCTTATCAATCTTAGAGTTATGATTTTGGATGAATTATTTTTTACTACTTGGATTTGCTTAAAGAAAAAAGTCAAAAACATAAAATTAAAATTACAAAACATAAGAAAAGAGAGAAGATTTTAGGTGATTAATCCGGCCATTATTGTAACTCCCATGAAATTTATTAATTATATATATACATTCATAAACATGCCTATATTAAGTAAAAGTGATAGTATGAATTGTTTTAAAAGTTTTTACGATAACGGTATGTTTGACGTTTACGTGGGGAATTTGGGGAGGAAAAATTCCGGATAATTTAGTTAATTATCCTTGGGATATTTCTAAGTAATTGGGATGTATTATATTAGTGAGAAATGTTTTAATATTTTAGGAACATTGGAACTTATTTTTGGTAAAAGTTATGAATTGTTTAAAAGAAATTTTTTTGAATTTTAGGGGTGAAAAATTCCAAACTTTGTGTGATTTATTTAAGGATTTTAAAGAGATTTTTGGATAAAATTAAAATAATAAAAGTTGTTCATCTATGTGTCTACTAACTCTCTGTAAAAGTTCATGATTGTTAGATCTATATATAAAAAGTTATGGCTAATTTGGTACAAATCGTTTGGATGTACCACTGCTATAAATTTTTAGGAAAGAAAATTCCGAGTTTAGGGAGAGGGATTTTTGAAATTTAATGAAAAGAAATGAGTTTAGTTACTTAAACTTAGTTATTTAGGGTGTTTAGTTACCTAAGTATTTAGTTAGACACCTAAGCCATCTTAATAAATGAATTAAGTCCAACTCACCTTCCTTTTGACTTCAAACCAACCACTTGCTTCCTTAGTCACCAATTACTTTCCACCTTGGCCAATTGATTCAAGGCAATTGTAAAAGGGGAAGTATATAAGGGAGAGAGAGGGTTAAATGACTGGAACTTTCAGCCAAAAATTATGGAGCACCAAGAAAGAAAAGAGAGAAAACCGTTAGAGGGAGAGAAAGGAGGGGGAAAAAAAGAAAGCTAAGAAAAACCTAATCACACCTTAAGTTATGTAAGTAGGTTTTTTTTTTTGTTATTTATTTATGCTATTTAGTTGGTTATGATAATTAATTAAGTTTGTGTTGGTATTGTGATGGGTTGTGTTGGTTTTGCTTTGATGATTAATGGTATATGACTTATTATTATTATGCTTGTTTGCTATGATTGTTTGCTTAAGCTTGATTAAGCCTTATGTGTAGCTTAATTAGTAGGTAATGGGTGTGATGAATCGGACTTGGTTTGGCCGAAATTTGGAGGAATTAATTTGGGTTTGGTATAAGCTTTGCTTGGAACAATAGAAAGGAATAAAATAAAATGAAAATTCTAGGGTTTTATCTATGAAATGCTTGGTCAAGAATGAAGGAAAAATGAAATTCTACTAGTGTTTTGAAACTTTCAATTAATGGTAAGAAAATTAGATTGATTAGCCATTTTAATAAGAAAGGAAAAGTCTTATAGGACCAAAACAATTTCCTTGTAAATTTTAGGACCATTCGGCCCAAACATAGGAAAAAAGGGGATTTCGGGTTTCATCAAACCAATTAGATAATTTATGGACCTATTAGACCCAAATTAGGATAAAAATGAAGTTAGATTGGCAAAGTCATAAAAAGAAATCGAATCTTGACCTAAGCACCAAATTCATTGAAAATCGTCAAAACTTGACGAAAAAGGAAACCTTATTTCTAACATGTTTTAAACTCGGTCGAGATGTTAAATACCACCTAAATCGAACGTAGAATGAACTAATAGTCGAAGCATACCCTGTTAAGTAGTAGGAAAGCCACAAAAATGAATTAGGCCCACGGTCTAGCAAATGACACCGGTCGACGAGTTAAACCTAATTAGGTGAACGTTGTGACAAAGTGAATGAAAATGTATGAACTATGTGGGGAACCCGAGTTTAGGTTGAATATTGAGAATGAAATAATAATGTAGATGGGTTGGATATTGAGGACGGAATAACGATGTAGGGTTCGATGCCCGGTATCCTTGGTACTCGTAATGGTGGTATCACGTGCATCAATGGGAAAGAAATAAAAACAGAATCAATTGATTGAGAATTGGTTTGGATGAATAGGTTTGGTAACCTAATCGAATTAAAAAAGGGGTTAGCGATCCAGTTCGTGTGCATACTCTAAGCTGTGTGCCTACACTCGTTAGGTGATGGATTCCCGTCGGCAGTGGCTACAACGATGGATAATTTCCTTGTTAGCATTCGGTGATTTGATAATCACCTATAGAGTATACCACTAATACCCGGGGTACTCGAAATTAAAAATGGATGAGTATGGTTGGGGGATCAAAAACAACATTGCATATTACATGCATCACTCTACTTATTGAGCTTCGGCTCACCCCATTGTATGTTTTTTTTTTTTTAATGTTGTGACAGAAAAGGGGCAAAGTAGTAAAGATGTGGCCGGCTCCTCCTAAAAGGCTCATGTGCGACACCGTATGCTGTAAACTCGTTTTGATTGTAATTTGGGGGTATGGGATCAATGAGAAATTGAACGTTGTCTATAACATTTTGCTACCGTATTTGTTTATACTATGTAAAGTTATTATACGCAGTTTTGTATGTAATGTCTTGTTAGTT